CGATAGATATATACAAGGATCGCGCATATAAATCGTAACCGAGAGCGGGCGAGAGAGAGAGAGCGAGCGAGATGTGGGAATCAATCTTCTTGACGATAGCTGCCACCGCCGGCAACAACATCGGCAAAGTCCTGCAGAAAAAAGGCACCGTCATTCTCCCTCCTCTTTCTTTCAAGCTCAAGGTACATACACATTTATAACGTATGTGTATGTGTATTTGGATTTCTGGGTTTTTGTTTTATATGAATCTTGGATTCATTCAATAATTAATTCCAGTTTTTAATTTATCTTTACTTTTGCGTCTTTTTAAGAAATATTCTTTGTTGTCAATTTCTCTTTCATTTCTATGCTTTTGTTTATTGTTTTGCCGAATTGGATAACCTAATTTATGAAGTATTGGATTAATTTATGTTTTTATAAATGAAATGAGTTCGAAAGGACGCATTTAGAAGGCGATCACCAAGAAATGCATCACTTACTTTGACTCCATTCAACAAGTGGCCTTTAATGTGATATTTGATTGCAAATGGCTTGTTATCATTTTCTGTTTTTCCGTTATGCCTGATGGGTGTTATATTGATTAAATTGAGTTGAAATGACATATTCTTGTCTCGCAAGGTTAAAAGATTCAGCTGACTCTGAATTTAGTTTGCCAAATCATTTTCGAAATGGCTAATACCAATATGGATATGAGACAGGACAACCTTTTTCGTTGTAATGTGAAATCTTAGTGTGTCAGCATGATTAAATGTGAGAGATAATGTGATTTTTTCTGGAGTTAAGCAAACTAAAATGTTGGGTATTTGTGGCTCATATTGAACACTTAATCATTGTTTTTCTCCCTTTTGAACTTTCTTAACATTTGTTCTTCTACTTCTGAATTTATTTTGGGTGTTATGCAAACTGATTTGTTTCTGTAGGTCATAAGAGCATATGCTTCCAATAGAACTTGGATCATAGGCTTTCTGATGGACATTTTTGGAGCTGTCTTGATGCTGCGAGCACTATCTCAAGCTCCTGTAAATGTTTTATAATCATTTTCCTTTTATACAAACTTAGCCCCCGTTTGAGCCCCATTATTTGTAGATTATAATGAGATGAATAGTGTTTTTTTGAAAAATGAGTGGTTGAAAAGTTTTTGATTT